GATCTAATTATTGCGTACAACATATTTAGCATGCCAAACCATCCCAATGTGAGCATCTTACCAATGCATCAACACCACTACCCTCGAGGCAATCATCGAAAGATTGCACATCAAAGAGTAGAACTCAGGTTCGTGCACACTTTTTCTCATTGAGAGTCGTCGCAACTTGAAATGTTTTCCCAGCCGAGGTGACCAAAGCTGCCTCAGTAGACAGCTTTAAGAAGAGACTTGATAATCACGTAGTCACATACGGACTATCATCTCCCTCTTGGACAAGCTGTTCATGATGCATATCTTGAGACCTGTCAGTTGTTATCATGCCATCTCCTCCGATCACTTTTTTAATCTATATCGCCTATTATCTCTGTTTCCTCTGAAATATTATTGGATATCGGATTTGTTTAAGCCACCTGAGAAACAGCCTTTTAAAGGACGCGTGTAAGCAGCGGCAGTTGAAACGGGTTAATTTTACGGAGTTAACGGTAACACACTAGTCAGTTTTTGACTCTTGAGTTTTCATTACATTTCGAGTTCATATGGGTCTAGAAATTAATCAGTATAAAATCGTTAAAACGCTCAGACTATTTGTGCAATGATCGAAGTAATCAAATAAACTAAATAAGCGTGAGATAAGGATTTGAGGTTACTTTTTCATGGAAGCTGAAACACTTATAATTTTACCCAAGGCTTTCGATAACCTCACCGTCAATTTAATCGTCCATCAACTGTCATTTTAGCTCAATTGTTGTTTATTATTCGTAGCTGAATATGAAAGAGAAAATATTTCGATCCACGATACCACTAAGAATCATAGAAAATGACTTCGAAGTTGTATGTTTATTCATATGCTCATTCCTTTTGTCGTGATTAAATATAAGACAACCTTCACTTTAAAATAATTTAAATTATTTTGAATTGTAGACAAATTTCACAACTACCTATTTATTGTTGACATTTTTATTTTCATTATTGTACTGTTTTGCATATTAGAAGATAGGAATGTAGATAATGTTACAGATTGCCTCATCAAGCATCAGCCGTTCGGAATTGTCTCCTAGGCGGTTACCATAGCCTCCTACGAGGACAGCTTCAAAAGAAAGCTTGAAAAAATGCCTCGATTGATGGCTTATGTCGTCTTACATGATAAAGCTGAGCAAAATGAAGTTCTTGTGGTGACAAGGAAATCACCATATGTACGATGCATATTTTATGTACCTGTTATGGGTGTGTTAGCCATGCGACATATAACGTTTTCAGGTCAAATAAATAATTATCTTCATTATCTTTCTATTAATTCATGTCTTTTAGTTCTTCAGATATTTGATTAAAGCTGTTATTTTGAAGCATTGTAAATTAAACATGATGGAAACATTGCAATCAGTTATGAAATTCACTGATATGTTTTATGCAGAAATATTAGAAGAAACTCACGGTAAGTCTATTCTTCCACAAAATTTGTATATTCATATTCAGATCATTTGGAAAATAGTTTTGTCTCCCCTTTCAATATCTATACTGCTCTTGGAATGGTTCTCGTTGGAAGTGAAGGAAATACGAAAGCTGAAATGACCCGAGCGATGCAGTTATCCAACCACACGGAACTCGACAAAATTCACAACGGATTCAATGAACTGATTACTAAATGCTCTGAAGCTAGCAAAATTGTTGAAATAATTCTTGGTAGTAGACTGTTTACAAGAAAGGACATGGATATCAAGGAGCATTTCCGAAATATACTTAAGAAATACTACAATGCAATAGTAGAAAATGTAAGTTCATACTGTGTATCACTGACATTCTGGGTAGGTGTTATTTCAAACAGATCCAGAGAGTGCTGAAACACGAATCAACCAGTGGGTTAGTGAACAGACCAATGGGAAAATTCAACAACTCATCCCTCCCAAATCGTTGAAGAATGATACGTCAGCTGTTGTGGTATCAACCACATACTTCAGAGGTAATACCATGCATACAGTTGAAAATATTTATCAACTTATTGCAAGTATTGATTACTTTCGTCTCACTTTTGATGGCTGACTTTCACACTAACTAATGGTGTAATGATCAACTTTGATTTCAGGTATGTGGAATCTACCTTTTCTGCCGAACGCAACAGCTGACAGTGATTTCTATACACTGGACGGATTGACGATCAACGTGAGGTTGATGTATAAAGAGGCTTTCTTCGATATGACCAGTTTACCTCACTTGATGGCACGGGGAGTGAAAATACCGTTTAAAGATCCTAAGTAAGTATAGTTGTTGTACTACGTATTTCAGCATATATTAGTTTGACACTTGAGTGAAATACTTGTGTAATGTGATTGCAATTTTATAAGTTACTTCCAGTAAATCTGAATAAAGTCCTAATTTGTACAAACAGATCGGAATTCATATGCTCATATATCTCCTATAACTAGCGACACCAAGACCCAAACAACCGACCTCGTAATGTAATATGTAATCTGAGAGTGACATTTAGGAGTTTCAGGTTGGCAGTTATTTACTAAACGCATATCAGAAGAAACGTCTCCGATGCAGCTTTCCACAGGATGAATTTTAAATGCTAAGTTCACCAAACGCAGCTACAGATGATCGAAGCTTAACTGAAGTTGAGTGAACTTTTGCCTCAGTGTGATACATGGTGGCTAAGAATGTTGTCTGAAATCAACATATTTCGCATATTTCGCACATAGAAATCACCAGTCAATTATTGTTAGATCACCATTCGGAACCTGGAAGCCCTGAACAGCCATTTCGTCCTGGTATTGGACTCATCAGCAGTGCGCATCCGAGAATCCTGCAATTCGCAGGATTTGAATTAAGGACCTTCGGTCTTGCGGGTGAATCTCTGGACAGCATATTTCAGTATGCACACATTTTACTGCATCTTTTGTTACTTAAAGTACTTTTGCTTACTAAAATGTTGCTCTGCTTTCAAACTAACTATGACACAGGTATTCGTTATTGGTTATTCTTCCAAATGAACTGAATGGATTACCGAACCTATTGAAGTTGTTGTACAAAAATGGAGGAATTTCTTCAGTACTCTCCAGTAATTTCGAGAATACGAAGTTGCAGTTGTACTTGCCTAAATTTAAATTGAGAGAAGGAAGCGCTTTGAGTTTGAAAAGTGTTTTGCAGAAAATGGGAATAAACGACGCATTCAATTCTGAATCAGCGGACTTCTCAAACATCACTGACTCGGATAGACTGTATATATCAGATGTTTTGCATAAGGCTATACTTGAAGTGAGTCAAATAATTGAACTAAATAGTCAGCTTTTAATTTCAAGTTGTTTCAGCATAATTTTGTGTTAGCGTTTGTATGTGTATTACTTACTGCATTCTCCGCATATCGTAAGTTTGTTTGTTTCTCGCCATAAATGTTGTGTTATACTCTATGAAATGAGATTAGCATGTTAACCTTTTCCGTGTTGCTCTACTTTTGTGCTGCATATCTTAATGTGTGTCTACATAAGCGATTACATGAAATGAAGTCACACCACTTAATCTGTATTAGGCATTTTATCTCCGATGTCACTCATCTGCACTTTACCTATGTGTAATATATGAATTGAGTCGGTAGACTTATTACTTACTTACTTACGCCTCTTACCCTCAATGGAGCATAGGCTGCTCACCAGTTTTCTCCAACCAACTCTGTCCTGGGCTTCCCTCTCCAGTTCTGTCCAATGTTTGTTCATTCCTCTCATATCTTTCTCTATTTCTCGGCGTAATGTGTTCCTCGGAATTTCACTTTTCCTTTGACCTTGAAGGTTTCATGTGGGGGCTTGTCTCGTGACGCACTTAGGTGCTTTTCGTAGTGTTTGTCCTATCCACTTCCTACTCCACTGGAATCTTGTTTGTTCTCTCCCAAATTACGTTGTTGCTGATGGTGTCTGGCCAACGAATAAGAAGTATTTTGTGTAGACAACTGTTAATAAACACTTGTATCTTCTGTATGATGGTTTTGGTAGTTCTCCAAGTTTCCGCTCCATACAGTAGAAATGTCTTGACATTTGTATTGAAAATCCTGATTTTGGTTTTGGTTGAAAGGTGTTTGGAGTTCCAGATATTTTTCAATTGTAGAAATGCTTTACTTGCTTTGCCAATCCGCACCCACACATCTGCATCGGATCCACCTTGATTGTCGATGATGCTGCCAAGATATGTAAATGTGTTAATGTCCTCATAGGTATCTCCATCAAGAGCGATTTGGTTGGTGCATGTTGTGTTGCATCGAAGAATTTCGCTTTTTCCTTTATGTATGTTGAGACCTTGTGCTGCTGAGGCTGTTGCTACACCGGTCGTCTCCTCTTACATTTGTTGATGCATGTGCGATAGAAGAGCCAGGTCATCTGCAAAGTCTAGATCGTCCAGCTGCGTCCTAACTGTCCAGTTGATAGCGTGCCTCCCTCCAGATGTCGATGTCTTCATAATCCAGTCGATAAACAGGAGACTTATATTCTTGGCATATTCAACCGTCTGTTCAAATCGGAGTCAGATTACGAGTCACCATGTAGTCGGTTGAACCTGTGTTTATTTTGTCAATGTCACACCTGATAAAAGATATCTTCTCATTCAAATGAAAGTCGATGAAATTTGTTGCAACATCATTCTGTGTATGGTCAGTCCTACTCAGTTTGTCCGCAGTTAGATGTGTGTATGTCATAGAGTCTTGTTAGTACACTATAGACAATCTTTCGTTAAATCTTATCAGTTGCATTCTATCGAGACAAAGTCTTGGTTTCATCATCCGACTTATGTCTGTCTTCTTGTTCGTGTTGAATACAGCATAAATCTGCAGGAAAATGTCGGAAAACGAATAAAGAATGAGCTTTCTTGAAATATTCCACAGTGATAGAAACATACTAACAAACATCACATACGTCACCATCATACAGTAAATATGTTTGTGCATTATCGAGTAAATTTTATCTGATTTTGATTTTACAACAGTAGTTTAAGTGTATGATTTTTTTCAAATTCTTATACAGATCGATGAACAAGGTGTGATAGCAGCTGCAGCAACAGAAGTAAGGCTACTTATTGGGTCATGTTGTGGACCACAAGAACCTGTGCCGGAATTCCGTGTTGATCATCCGTTCATTGTTTCTGTTGTATGGAATGATTCTGTACCAGTATTTCTGGGACACATTACAGCTCCAACGAATGATTGACCAGTAATACGTAGACTGTCTAAATTCTCTGAGAAGCAATCTATTTTGTACTTTTCCAAAATTTTCCAGACCTAATGTTTAAGAATGCACTGTTTTGACTGACTGTTGAATTAAAACTATTTGATTTTTTGTGTGGTAATCAACATTTTCTAAACTGATCATTACTATTTGAAACCGATTTTCATGCTTTCTTGTTCTTTGAACATACTCTTCCTTGTCACTGTAATTTATTTTATATGAAATATCAAGGTGTACACTGTAACAAATAATAAATGTAAAGATACAATGCTAGTTGTGAATTTTCTTGCCTGCCATTATCCAAATTTGATGAAAGCAAGTTAGTAAAATTGACTTGACATACTATCATAGTGTCTTGTACTATAACTACTCACTAACTAGCTAATCGTCGATCGTTTCTAAGAATGAAGTATTATTGTGGATTGTCTAATTGCCAATCACAAATCTTCAGTGTATTGTTGAGTGATTTGTCAGAATACTTTGAAGTAGAAATGACATTCTGTCATATCTTCAAACTAAACGATCGATATAACATGTTCACTTATCAATGCAAATCATGATAGAAGTTCTGCATATTCGACGTTGGTCACCTCCTCAACCATCAACTGTCATCAAACTGAACAAAAACAAATCCAATCAAGACCAGTAATCTTGGACTGACAGTTTAGATCTTATTAGTCCACTATTCGCAGGCTCTTTTCTTCGCCTTGTTCTGAGTCCAAACGTAGCGACCAACCTCTACTGAATCTACATTTTGAAAAGGGGATGACTTTGTGCATACATGCCGAATAACATCACGCTGTGCTTCCCTAAATAAAAATTATACTTTAGGAAGGCGAACGTCTTTGTGAATGGGAGAGACGATAACTAGTAGGCCAGCAATGAAATAAGAATTATAAGTCTTATGACAATAGTTTATAGGTTGACCGACGGCTTATCATGAATGGAATTTACACACACACATAGTTATCTAGTTACGTAATCATCATACAACAGGAATATTCATAATGATTACGTGATAAATATTCCCATTGTGAAAATCGGAACAACACATAGCCAACAATACTGTTTTCAATCACATTGTCATCAGGCTTTGCTCTAACATACAGGAATATTGATATGAAAATGGCGAACCAATCAAGGCAATTGAGTATGAGTCAATAAGTGTACATAATAGGTAAAAGTACAAGTTCACAACTAGGCAGACAGGTGTACTGATAGTAGTAGTAAGAATAATCAAACACGATCGCTAACGTCATTGTCAATAGTTAAACATTGAATGTCGTAGTAGGTGAAACATGGATAAACAGAATTTAGAAGGAATGAGGCGGAAAATTACAAATCAATACAGGATGTGAAAATAATGCTCACGACACCAAAAGATAAAATAATTTTGAAATCTTTCTAAAATCATAAAATCGATCAATGTGAGAGCACCATCAGAAACCTGGATGTACTATACGTCCGTTTCGTCCTGATACACGCTTCATCTAAAGTGCTTCAACCCTAAGGAATTGGTGATTTTGAAATGTAACACAACAATCTTCACAACCTCATAAGGCAAGTTTTAAAGTCGCTTATTTAGTTATATCTGATCAAGAAAGGGACGAGTGATGTCACGAATGTATTCTGAACACATAAATGGGAGTTGAATGTTCGGATTCCTATGGCTTTGGGTATATATTTAGGAGACAGAATCAAACTTCGTTTGGAAGTGGTGGAGGTACACGAAAGAACACTACTCGAAATGATTCAGATATATCCATATCATGACTGCCATCAATCAGGTGTGTCAAGACAGAGCTGTATATTTTGCTTAGCAGGCAATTTCTGAACAATGCTTAAAGATGTTCTTTCAATCATTGGTTGAGCTGCCTGGTAGTAAGCCCGATATATCTATCTTCATGAAAGTAGTCTGATTAGCTGGCATAAACCTGTTTAACAACAGAAACTGAAACTAACTCATTTGATTGTCAAAAATGTAAACAATTCATAGGTTGGACATGTACATAATATTACATTTGAATCGAAAGAATTTGAGAAGATTTCTTTCATGTGAAACAATCTAGCATTCAAGTGTTGAATTATTCTGTTCCTTTCATTCAGTTTGTTAAATATCATGCTTTTCATTACACATTTGTGGAGAGATTGTTGAGTTTGATCAAAGTCATGAATCGATCAATGTTCGATCACCTTTGGGAACATGAAAGCACTAGACGATTGATTCATTCTAGTATGTGAATCATCAACAGTGCTAATGAAGGGCTCCTACTTGTAAGAATCGAAAGTAGGATAGTTGTTGTTGCATGTGATGCTGGTTTAACAATGAGCAATTCATTAGTTCAATGAAACTCAACAATCTTCACAATTCTATGATGACAATCAGAGGATTGTGCTCAGTTGTGACTAGCTTCACAATGAAGCTGTTGGTATACTAGTAAGAAGCTGTAACCAGTGCAGTCCAACTCTGTAGAATGTAGGCAGTTACCTACGGAAGACAATGTGTTAGGCTATGCAGTATATTGTTGTAGGCTGAGCGGTCTAGAGGTTAAGCACTGACATACACAACCGAAGGAAATGGGTTTGATTCCCATCAGCTGTAGTCATGGATGTACATTGCTGATGAGTTCCATAATGTGACTGAACAGCCGTCCAGTGCTGACAGCTTGCTAACAGTGGTCTGTAAATGATCGATTCATAATATCAATAAACATTTATTGACGTTTATTTATTTATCAAATGTATCAATTAACTTCATTTTAATGAACAAATGTATACCCAAAGAAGGTGTTGTTTCACAGTAGTCCACTTAATCAAAATCTTATTCACATTCCGTTCCAGAAGAATAATGAAGTTTATAAACTACTTATATACTAGAAGAATAAATATCATAACATTTTCATAAATAACTGAATCATTCAACAAATATTTCTGAAAGTTTATATTTGATCAACAAAATACAAGATGTAATCTAACGATGTGTTGTTTGTCATTCAATGACTAACACATTGTTTTACTGAATAGAAATTTATGAAAGAATTTGTAAATTTCTCTAATTTGAATGAACAACTGACCTTTATGTTGACTGGATTCAATGTTTCAATTCAATAATTAGTCATACTAATTATGTTTCATTTGATAATTTATATAATTACACTTGGATAACAATATTGTTTAAAATTATTACTAAATATAAAGGAGTAATCAAAAGGATTACAGAACTTTCAATGTTTTTTTGCACTCAACGACTTTGAGTACACATCCAGTGTAGCTAAATGGCTTTCTGTTAAATATCCTCATAGAATGCAGCAGTTTCGTTTTCCATTCATTTCCGATAAAAATAAGCAGTTGGCTGATGATGAATGATAGCGTTGGTTTTATGTGAACAACACATGATTGTATTTACACATTTGAAATCATCAATCAATCATTGTTAGACCACCATTAGAAACCTGGAAGCACTGGACGGCCTTTTCGTCCTAGTTTGGGACTCCTCAGCAGTGGCCCGATGGTAAGGCGTTCGCCTACAATGCCAAAGTTCCCGGGTTCGAATCCTACGAGGAGCAGAAGTCGTGGATGCGCTAATCGGTTGCAGTGAAAACACGCGAAGAGCAACCGAGACCAGATGTGCTGTTCATATTTCAGTTGAAAACGAAAAGCTTAACATTAAGAGAGATTAAATGTAAAATCACTGAAAATGATTTATTTCCTACTGCTTTTAATCGGTTTAATTTTGGGGATGTAAGTCAATCAAATCGATCACGAAAACGATTTCATTAGGATAATATTCACCTTTCAATGCGAACCTCAAGAGAGGTCTGTTGTATGGAGCGAAAGTTTGGAGAACCACAAAGCAGTCATCCACAAGATACAGGTGAATGTTAGCATCTGTCTACGGAAGATACTGTGGATCCGCTGATGACCAGACACCATCAACTATAGCCTACTTTTGGAGTGGGCGAATCAGAATCAAGCTAAAGTAGAAATTATGAAACAGTGCTGGAGGTGGATAGGACATACATTGTACAAAAATCATGACAGCATCACGAAGCAAGCCCTAACTTGGATTAATGAAGTTCAAAGTACAAGTGACAGGTGAAAGATCACATTGCCTCGAGAATAATGATCAACTGACAGAAGTATGTGTAGTGATTGTAAAGGATGACTGAAGACAGATTCGGTTTCAGAATGCTGTTTGCAGACTCACGGTGCATTAGGGGTAACTGTACTAAATAATCAATTAAGTAGTATGTCACAGCTTTATTCACTCATCACAGTTTAAGTTGTACGTAATGAATGCCAAATAAAGCATGCCCATTTTTAATGAATATAATTTGTTTTTCACAGAGTGAAAATTTGTTGCTTGATGTCGAACAGAAAATTTCGTCAAGTTTCATGGTTTATATTGATTTTCAAGTTTATTATCTAGTCACAGAATATCATTGTTAGTTAGTTATTTTGACCTGTGAAGTATGTTACCATTACTGTTCACTAATGTAAAATCATTTCATTCTTTAAAACAAAAAAAACTGAATCTAATCTCCAATTAAACACATTTATATATTCTCGTATAATTTGTATGCATATTCAGGAAACTTACATTTCAAATACAACCACATTGACGTGACACAGTCTCCTTCCATTGATATACTGAATAGTAGTAGTTTATGAGCTTGCAACAGTGATGATCAGAAGTATTAGGGCCTATTGTCGAACCATTGCATCAATTTAATTCTAATTACCCAATTTTCACACAAAGGAATTTGTGAATAAATCAAATGCACAGTAACACTATTCCAGGAATCAGTACTCTGTCCTCTCCTGTCTTTATACTTGATTATTGAAAATGGCAGTAAAGACGATTTAAACAAAAAAAATGAGAAAAAAACCAATTTATCATGTCATAAAACAACTGAGGTGTTCAGATAAATCGATCTCTCAGCTGGATGTTTTGATTATGGAGCTTTGATTGTTCTTCTGAACATAACGTCAGGTAGATGGCAGTGAAGTATTCGAGCATGTCCTGTTGATTTCAACTGGTTCATTGGTTGATTGGTTGTGATTGACTTTTTAACTTGTGGTTGTGTGAATCGACATTTTGATTATATTCCCCTTTGATCTGATTTCCGATCTTATGTTTGTTCATAATTTTGTTGACTAGTCAATAAATTGGATCCAGTGTCGATGTATTTGTTG